ATGTATAAGTTGTACTCCGTATGAAAAAAGGGTGAAATCAAGTCCCAAACTATCTTGCCACTGCTCCCCTTGTAGTCTGGGCATACGGGGGGCTCCCTCATAAATCTGAACATTACATGTATAGCATGTTGTCCTCTCACAGGTCTTATACATTTTGACCCCATATCTGGCAGGCTTGCTGTAGAGAAATTGTTTTGAATGCAAGGTGGCCAGAAAAATTAACTTGCTGGGGAGTAAACACATCTGCAAATTTCTGGTTAAGGTGATTTATGAGGGGGACAAATTTTGTGAAGCCGGTCATATTCAGGGTCACCCCGAGGACGATAGAGTTTGTTATCACTAAAATGCATAAATTGCATTATATTCTCATATCTATGCCTGGCCAGCAGCAGAGAACATGGGCATATGATGAATCGGGTCTGTGGACCAATACAACCTCAATTTATTTTTTATAGTAATGCCCATGTTGAGGGTTAGGCCCAAAAAAACTTAAAATTTGGAAACTGTAATAGGTTTCCATGCAAATGGTTGGCAAGGCTTGAATAAATTGTTATGCATATAAATTGCTTTGATCTGCAATCAATCCATAGAGATCTTCCATGAAAAACAACTCCAAAAATTCAAGGGGAGTAGTTAAATTTGCTGTTTTCACTTGAATTCTGGGTTGGGCAGTGCACAGGGGAAGTACGAGTGCTGCAGAATTTGTGGGCTGTCAATCAGGGTTTGCTAGCACATGTGGAAGGAAACTATGGGCTCTATGGACCTGTGTTAAAATTTTTGGTGGCTGCAGGACACAACTTGTGCTAGCCACCTCACCAGCTTGTATTGCACGTATGGGACTCGCCACATCACCAAATGATAATGCAGTGCTGGTAAGTAAAAGATCAGGGTGTACTAGCCCGCTGGTGCTCGCCAGTTCACCAAAATGTAGACTGGCACTAGTAGTGTCACTCTGCTACATATGAGAATCATCATGCAATTGTACCACTTCAGCAACTTGAGAATGGGGTCAGGTACATCTGACCTTAGCAGGGACCTCTACACCATCGTCTGAGCTATCCACCAAGGTGCCATTGTTTTCTGCAGATTCGTATTCAGAGCCTGATTTTGCCAGTGAGGCTTCCCTTTGCTCTGATCTGACATACCCAGAATCCTGTAGGCCTCTTCACTAGTGTACCTTTCGTTGGACATTTTGGCCATTAAATTTATAGGTACCTAGTGCTGCTCATGGGAAAAAAAGCACCTGGCTGTCAGGGACTGCTTGAACCACTACTAAAAACTTTACTTACTAGTGCTTGCAGAGATCAGGCCTAATGCTGCTAACTCTACAGTTTTGTATGCAATGTATCAAGTGACAATGATCTATTGATCCTGCACTTGCTGGGGGGGGGGGTTTAAGCTTAGGGGCTAAACGCAGATGCTGGCAGGTGCTGGGGCTGATCCCGCTAACGCAGCATTTGTGGACACTATACTATTGGGAACACTGGTATAGTTCTGATTTGATCAAAGATGTTGATCCTTTCAGACACTATACTAGCAATGGAGGTTTATTGTGTATGTGAGCATGTTCCTGGCAATCAAAGGGTTAAATATGATGACTGATGTACTGGCGGGCAATCTGACGCTATCTTGGATCCAGCCGATCAGCAGGTCCAGACCAAACATCTTTGGCCTGAATCTGCTGAGTGATCTGTGCTGTACCGAATCACAGTAGTGCCAGGCCAGTGCACCCCCTGCCCATGAACACAACAGGAGCGTGATATATATATATATATATATATATATATATATATATATTTTATATAGCTGTAAAATGCTATTTAAACTGGTTAAAAATTAAAAAATAAAAATATCCTAATCACAGTAAAAAAATATAAAAAAATACAAACAATTTAATAAACTTTTTTTGTTAACAAAAATTGAGGAGTGAAAATAAAAAAATTATAAAAAATCCATCACAGAAACAAAAAATAATTTTATAAACCGTTATAAAAAACAATTGAGGTATATATCAATGTTGAGGCCAGATGGTACAAGAGTATTGAGCTGATAAATCTAGTTGGTCTCATTCTGAAAAATTTGCTGACATAGATCAATACCCCTCCAATGTTTAAAAACCCTGTCAATTCCATACAAGCTCAACACAGAGGGATCCCTATTATGGACAAGTCTGAAATGGTTTGACACACTGTGGGACCTAAATATATATATATATTATATACTGTTCACATGTTCATTAATCCATTTATAAGGGCATCTAGTGGTCTGCCCTACATATTTTAACCCACAAGCACATGTCAAAAGATATGTAACATATTTTGTATTACATTTGATAACTTTATCTATTTTATATTCCTCCCCATTCATGGAGTGAAAGGAGTTTACTTTTCTCCCTTATCTTTTGTGGATCTACATGTCACACATCTCCTACATCTGTAAAACCCAACTCTTTCTAAAAAGGTGGTTGTTCTTTTAGGAGGATCTACAGTATTTTTTGCTATTCTATTCCTCAACCCAGGGTCCTTCTTATAGATGAAACTGGGCTTATTTGGAAGGATACCTATTAGAGTATTGTCTCTTAATAATATGGACCAAAACCTCTTAATTATTCTCTCCGCCATCCTGTATTGTATATTTAGTCCCGTAATAAAGGCTATATAATTTTTTCTTTCTCTTTTAGATTTCTGTTGGAGTAGTTCACTTCTATTTAATTCACCTTCTTTATCTTGAGTTCTCACCAGGTCACATTCTTTATACCCTTTCTCAAATATTTGTATTAGCTTATCCATTTGTGATATAAAATCCTTATTATTTTCACAGAAGTGGCTAAATGGTTAGCACTTCCACCTGGCAGTACTAGGGTCGCTGGTTAGAATCCCAACCGCGGCATCACCTGCCTGGAGTTTTCATGTTCTCCCTGTGCCCACGTGGGTTTCCTCCGGGTACTCCGGTTTCCTTCCACACTCCAAAGACATGCTGGTAGGTTAATTGGCTCCTGTCTAAATTGATCTTAGTATGTGTATGTATAACTGTGAGTTAGGGACACTTCTGTACACTTCTTGAGGGTTAGGAACTGATGTCAATGTACAAAATATATATTAAAAGCACTGTGTAAATGAACAGCGCTATATAAGTACTTGAAATAAATAAATATACATTTAACTATGGACTGTGCATTATAATTGTAGAGGTGGAAGACACTGTGATTATATTTGATTATTATTTCTCACTCTAATGTTCACTTGTATGAACGATCATATGTGTATATGGTGCTATACTTTCACAATTTTTTTATTCCATGGACTTTAATTTTTATTTCATCAGAACTTCTTATGGACTCTGCGAGTAAGACTGCTGCATGTTAGGTATCTATATGCTTTACCCTTTAGGTCTCATTTGCACCAATGGATTTTTTTTACAATATGAATGATGCAACAGGATAAATGAGATTCTTTAAAGAAAAGGGAGGAAAAGGTGAGCCCTGACTGGTAAATCTAACCACGAGAGTCAACAAAGCAGGAAGAAGCCAAAGTCCACCCATGACTGAAATATCAGGTTTGGGTGTCTGCTATTTTATTTGTGTCCTTTGTGTATCTGCCTCAGGTTTCCCAAACTCAGAAACTAACACGTTGTAAGATGAAGTAGGTATGAGAAATATTATTCAAAGCATTTTGGAAAACAAAAAATAAAAGGTTCAGTAAAAAACTAGATACACTTTGATTATGCACATTTTAAGCTGTTCATCTTACTCCCCCACCCCTACCCCTTCCTGGCCATCCCAAAAAGTAAATGGAATCATGCATAACAAAATACAGTAGGAAAAAGGGTACTTTTAACATTGAATTAAATATTATGAGTATTTTTTTATATAACTAGGAATTTGAGATATTAAATAGTTTACATGCAAAACTGTAATCACACACAATATTGGACATTGAATATATTAAATCCTATAGCATTGAATAACCTGTAAAACACAATTTCTTTCAAGTTACATAAACACCTCTCCGACTAGTGAATGATAAGAAATGCTACCAAAGTGAAAAGTGTCTGATACCGTGTATTCCTTGAAATGATTTCCTGTAGCATTTCATTGCTTCAGAGACCACATAAAAGATAATATACCAAAACAAGTCTGTTCACAGAGGAAACACACCTAAATAAAAATATAAAATGTCTTCTTGATCCTAATGGGGTTGGAAACTCAATGCAAACTACCAGAGCCTTTTGAATATAATAATTGTAAGTGTTATTTCACTCAACAACACCTCTATCACCTAGGTCTCCTGGAAATAACTTGTGGCAACTCTCCCTCTCTTAAAAATTGAAGGTCTGATCTACTGTAAGCCCTCCAACCCCTAAGTTGGACATAAAGACATTTTAAAAATAAAGCTATTTTGACAGAATGAAACAGGACTTATGTTGACTCTAGCTTTCAACAGATCTGGGAGATACAGGTGACAACATGCCTCACTCTGCCTCCTGGGAAAGATGAGGATTTGTAATGTCATGGAGCTCTTGAAATAGGCTTAAGGGCTTGATAACTTTTAAAAGAGGGACCTTCCTTTTTCAGGTAAAGGTTCCCAAAATGTATTCCTTGTCTCATCATTTCGGATTCCCTTTCAGAAACAATTTTCTCTTCTTTTAATTCAGATCCCCCTCCCATCCTACCCAGGTCTGCCTTTTCTCCCCCAGTAATGCATCATCACACATTTTTCTAATTCCATGATAGTTACTATGTGGCCTTGCCCTGTGACTGGTTATATAGTAAGCCAAGTCGAAAAAAGAGCATCCACTTCAAACAATAGAGAAGAAAAAAAAGGACAAAAAGAAAACCTCCATGTATACAATCCAATAGCCATAGCTGATTCAGAGGAAAGAAAAAAACAAAAAACAAATAAAGCATGATCTAATTTGCTGTACAGAGAAAAAAAAATCCTTCCAGATCTTCCAGGTGGAAACAGGATATTCCATAGATCAACTACTTCTGGTGTTGTTGATACATTTTACAAGCTTTCAAACATTCGGAGCCTCAAGTGAAGCAAGCTGTACAGACCCTTTTAAAGTTTGCATTTGCCAGGTATTACAATGGTAGATTTGAACCCAAAATGACTAAAAGGGAAGAGGCGCTGGTATTGGGAGTCAGCCCGACCACAACTAAAACAAAGATAAGAGAAGCTCACAGACAGATTATGCTGCTGAACCATCCTGACAAGGGTGGATCTCCATACATTGGATACAAGTTTGTGCAGCGAGCGCTTACTGTAATACGGATGTGAAAAAAGAGAGAGAGCCGCTAGAACACCAAAAAGGTAACCAACATGACATTCCAAGATAATATATAGAAAAAAGGTGCAGCGCTAATAATAAAACATGAGCATAAAATCAATAAAAGACTAGAACAAATAAGGACATGAAGTTGTATATTCGTCATAAATACGATGTTCAAAAAATGTCCTAAAACATGCAATAAGGTGCAATGTGCCAATTCTGCCAGGTCCCCTTATCAAGGTGAATGATCCAAAGGTGAGCAGGAAATAAGTAAAGTGCGCACTCACCAGAAGTGCGTTTAAAATACGCATAAAAGAAGTATCCTCTCTCCTGGTGCATCTAGGATCTCCCCATCCAGGTGAAGCTGCGCTCACTAATTCTCACCGGTCATCAATCCTGGTTAGGTTCAATGGTGCATCCGACACTATTACATCTCCGGAGTCCCTCCTTAAAACTTGGTGCTGTGAAAGGGTGGCGCTCATGGAGAGCCCAATAAGGGACATCACATAGCGTGATACTGCATAAACACTTTATTTGAAAAGTAGCATCAATCAAAAATTAGGATACTGACCGCAATCATAAATGGATCTCCAGGTGCTGTAGCCCTCTGACGCTTTTTTCGTGCTAAGCACGTTCTCAAAGGGTGCAGGGCTTACAGCACAGACATCCTCTCACTGGATATTTATAATTTGAAATGGCAATCGCGCTTGATGCGCCCACCATTTTGCATGGCGACCGGCGCATGCGCAGTACGCCGGCGCCATTTTGTCGTGGATTGAATATACGACTTCATGTCCTTATTTGTTCTAGTCTTTTATTGATTTTATGCTGATGTTTTATTATTAGCGCTGCACCTTTTTTTCTATATATGATCTCCATACATTGCTGCCAAAAGTAATGAAGCCAAAGACAGTCTAAGTGTTAGCTGTATACTCTGTACTTTTTTGAGAACTCTTTATAATCATACCTGGAAAAATGTGATCTTGATTTATGGGAAAATATTTAATCAATTTTGCAAAAAAGAAAATTCCTCCAGATGTAAAGAGTGCAGCTTGGCATTGTATGCTATTATTAAAGCAGGACTAAAGAAAGTTCATACTTAACTTTGCTCCAGTGATTCTGTCCCTTGCTGGTATCTTCTACTGTGTGCCAGTTTTGGGCCAGTTTCATTGACCACCCCAGGACAACATCACTCTTGCGTATGCGCAGGGGACCATTATTTCAATACACAGGTATCAAGCTGGCCACTGTAAGCTGAGGTGCACATGTGGAACTTAATGTACATGCTTGGGCATGTTGCAAACAGGGAGGTAAGTGTAGTTTATTGCATGTCTCTCCTGCAATAAAAAATCTGACTGCTCACAGCACCAACAGCTGAACGTTTTCCGCATTAGGCTTATGATTTACTAGAACACCCAGATCCTTCTCAACCATTGACTCCTCCGGCTGTTCTCCTCCTAGAATGTATGATGCATGCATGTTTTTGGGCCTCAAGTGCATAACTTTTTATTTGTCAACACTGAACCTTAGAGCATACCACAAATAACCTTAGATCATTCAGAGTATAAATCATTAATACTACTGTCCGAATACAGTTGTGTATCTAGTTTTCTATCCATTTTCAAACTGGTTAAGTCTTTTTTAGGGGGCAGGATCATGCAGCAGGCTTTCTGAAACTAGAGGTATGTATACTAGCCTTTCTTAAGGTAAAGTACACTGTAGAAGTTGATATCTATAGCTGAGGGTCTGTCACTACTATAAACTTTGATACCATGCCAATACAATCCATAGGAACAGTATGCAGTGAGTCCATGATCTAAATCTTACCTGAGTGCTTCCACCATGATACTGAGACTGAGAAGCCAGAAGTGCTCAGAACTGAGAGCTTCCAGGTTCATTCATTACAGGTAAGATTATGGAATGGGTGTTCTGTAGTCTCTTTCTGCTTTCCATTTGGATTTTCCCTGCAGAGACATGGAGGTCATGAAGAAGCCAGGTGAGTCCAGGAACCACAAGAACAAAGCCACCAATTGGTGGCATGTAGAAGAGATTGGAAGGCTATAAATTCCCAAATCACTCCTACTAAATAAATGAAAGTTTACTGTCCAATATTTAAACAAGGTCATTACCACTGTTATGACCAAGATCTTGTTTTCAGCCCTTTTCTGCCCTACCATAACTACAAGTGTGGTAGCAAAAGGCTTTAAAAGATAGAAAGCACTGATAACCAATCAATCATTTTACTGAATCACCATGGTTGCTTTGATTGCAAAACCACTGAGAATACTTCATGTCTCTTAAGCAGAATGGGTGTTGACTATCTGGTAGCCATTCAGTATTATTATAATGTAAGTCTTATATAATTACACTACTAAACTCTTTAAGTACTCCGATTCATCTTCTCTGCAATGCAATGGAGGTTTTTCAAATGTTGCAGACTTTATTAAAATGTTACAATGGTAACACTGAGAACAGTCAGGATCACCCTCTTTCTTCAATTCATATGCAAAACTATTACCAAGAAAATATAGACCTAGGAATCAACAGCCAGAGCATATTTATATACAGAAGAGGAATTTAGTGAGTAGTCATTGGTGCTGTCATAAAGCCTAGGGAACTCCAAGAACTGTTGTAGCACACCTGTAAACTTTATTCAAATAAGCACATTACAGCAACAAAAATGTCTTAAAATATTTTGCAATATGGTGCTTGTGATACGTCTCAATAATTAGGTATCCAAAGGTGTTCTCATAATACTTAGGCACCCACTTTGATTTCATATTGATGACTTTGCTTACATGATATTAATGTTACTTCCCTAACATTGTACAGGAGTGACCTTATAAATGCTCCAAAAATTTGAGTCAAATTCAGTTTCTTCCTACATAATGCCATATCTATTCATATAAAAAAGAAATAAAGTGCACACCTTAAAGGATGACTAAGCACTATAAGCATGAAACACGTTAACTATTCCCCTATATAGAGCTGTGGTATGTCTGCATCTTTAAATAAAGAATTCAATATTTTTTACCACTGAAAAGAAGTTCTTATCTATGCATGTAACCCAAACAGGTTTGATGAGATGAGACTTTATGCATTTAAAAAAACTAACTTGTATTTCTCCTGGTGCTTTGCTGGTGGCTTAGTAAATTAGCATATGGCTTAAATTAACTGGATTAGATTAGATACAACTGGCCTGAAAATCTGCATTATTATCTAGGCTATTATTAAATCTAAATAATTAGTGCCTTTATTTCAAATCCTAATTAATTTGACGCATATATTGATATCTGTTAGATGGCCGTATAACTGATACACTATTTATTGTTCTATTGTTACTACAACAATTATATGATCTAATAAGAAATGAGAGTCAAATTTATTGACTACATTTCATTTTTGCACCTGATGTACAATGAAGCACTGCATGGTATTTATTATTCTATTTTCCTTTGTCACATACCCATGCCTTATTACAGGTTTTTCATGTAAATCAAGATGTACAATGCATTTTTTTTTTGTTTAAAATACCATATTATTTGTGCTCATTATGAATTCTTTCCTTGCTGACTGGTAATACAGCAATTAGCTGTAACCCTTTTATTTCATAAAAGAAGAAAATCACAGCTGTTGGCCCTGAATTACTGGGCACAAAAATTAACATATGCTGAAGCGAGATATTACATTTGAAAATGGTGTGATTCAAATTCATAATAACTATCTCAAACAGAAAAATATAAGAGAGATCAATCATTATTTATGAATAATATGCAGCAATAATCACCAGTACATTATACTTCATATATATAAATCATGCATAGGCAAAGCAACCTTGTTTTGTATGTGTGTTCCCTCATGTTTTAAAAAGTTTAGTTTGGGTGTTATAAAGTTGAAAGCAATATACAGCCATACGCACATATTCATTAAAAATATACAATATACGGCATGTTATATTCTACAAATATCACTCATATTAATAAGATCTATTTCAGAGTTGAAGTTTTAATTTTGCTATCTACGTTTTATATTATATCTTTTGGCTCTAACCACTGATTAATTGATTACCTACCTGACAAGCACATAAACCTGCACATTCATATTTTATGAGCAATGTATCTATGACACCACTGTTAGTTTATACCAAAAACTGATTGAAAAAAAATGAAAAATAAAAACAAAAACAAATCCAAACCATCACATTTTCCCTATTAAAGTCTAGAAACCCTCTGGTGTCTATAGTTTCTTTTAAATACCTCTGCCTACATTTAAATCAATTGTACAGAGGTTTTGAGTGTATTTTCTTTCATTATTTATTAAGTTCAGCACTAAAAAATACATCTTGTAAAAAATATGAAACTTATGTAAAGGCAGATGTGAAAGTTTTCATTTTACTAGTATGTATTCTTGTTTTCAAACAAAATCAGGACCTGTCTGGACCTCTTCACATTTTCTAGTTTTATTTATCAATTAAAAGCTCTCACCATTGTTATAATAGACTATACTGATGTCAATCTCTTGACCACATATTGTATGTCCGCATTACACATAATTGGTTTGATTCAATCATTGTTTGGAGAACTACAAAGAAGTTCAGTTACTGAAACTGACTCCCTTTGAAATCATTAGGAGCCGAATCTGCCAAATTAAAAATGCTAATTTTCTGGGCTAATAGTCAGGATGTGTAAAAAACAAATCACCTGGGTGCTGGGGTGGGAGCTGTCTTGAGGAACATGTACCAATGCAAAAAAAAAAATTCTTCATCTCCGTTCTGCCAGGAGGAATGATTTTTTTAAATGCTTAAAGTGAAACATGAAAATGCCCAATTCCTTTAAATAACATGCCTGGGGATTCCCTACTCCTGCTTGGGAAAGGGCGCATCCCTGTTATGTACAGAAAGTGGTGCATCAGTACTGCCATTTACAAAAATGATTAAGGATTTAGGAAAAATATGTTTAAAATTACTGAAAAATGACATTTCATTACCAGCTTGTTAGAAAGAAAGCTT